GAAAAGGAGGGAGAGGGAGGGAGAGAGAGAGAGAGAGAGAGAGAGAGAGAGAGAGAGAGAGAGAGAGAGAGAGAGAGAGAGAGAGAGAGAGAGAGAGAAGGGGGCGTGGGGTACTGTATATAAAAATTAATTCACAAAACAAGAATGAGAGGCATACAGATCAGAATCAGATGTGTAACTGTTGAGTATTCTTAATAAATAGCTACAGAAAATCCATTTGTAAGCAGCACAGTTTTATTATGGAAATAAAATCAAAGTAAAACAAACAGCAACAATGGCCAAATCATTGCAAAAGTCAAAATCATTGAAATGATACCATCATATATATTTGGTTCATGACCACACTAATCATATTCTAAAGGTACAAAGTAGTCGTCAAGTTAAAAAATTAAAAAAACTCTGTGAAACTTGCAATATGAAGTCACAACCATCTTGAAAAAAAAATTCGTCAAAAATACATCTTCCAAGTTCAAACATTAAAAACCTCAGTGGAACTTGCAACATGAAGTAACAACCATTTTTAGTACAATTGTACCAAGAGCATAACACATACCTTTCAGGTTCACTCGCATCACCTTTATCAGTGATTTTGAAAAAACAATTTTGTTTTAACTTTTTTTTACTGTAACTAAATGTTCATCTAAATGTAAAAACAATAAAAAGTAGAAGACTCTCCAAGCAAATGCTATGTTAAAATAAAAAACGGTTTACTGTCACTTAACATGTCAGAGGTGCAGTCAGTTGAGCAAGTACATGGAAAAATACCCCCCCCCCCCCGAAAGTGTTTAAAAAAATCTTTTTAAAATAAAAAAATCCAAAAATTCTTTTTCTGTACCTTCAGATTTATTCTAAAAGAGAGGTTGAAAACATACAGCAGCAAAACACTGCCTATCAGTCACTCACCTGTGCTATCTGGAGGGAAGAGTACATCTGGGAACAGCTTCTCAAAACTGTGTCCCGTGTGTTTGGGCCGGTTCTCCACGTAGTTCCTCACCGTTGTCTGTAACCTGGACATGAAGTCTTGGCTTGGGGTGCCAAGCTGCTCTGTAATCTTATTCCACTGGTCAATGTCTGAACATACGGTCAAGGAATAGTTTTACAAGCCAGTCGTCAGTTGAGCTTGGTAAAAGTCTTAAGGCTGTCCCCAACTGCATGAGAGCTAATGGTCAGAGATACAGATTTTCCACTTTTAAATCCAACCATATGGTCCGTCCAGTGACTCCGAATAGTCTAAACTGTATTTATGAGCCTCTCAAGGTGCTGGTTGACATGTTGCTTCGACCTTGGTTACACAGTCTATCGCCAGACTGTCCCCCCATCTCACACACCTCCACAGCAATTGAGTACAAAACATGGAAGGTAATCAGATCAACCTAGTACACATTTTTATGGGCCTAACTACAACTCCACAATAGCGTTTGCCTCAAGCTGGGAGACCACTTACAGAGTTTGTTCTTATGTTAAAGGCTGACATGACAAAGATGGCAATGTTTCTCTTTGTCGAAGTATCCTAGGCAATTTCGACAACAACTTCTCTGAAAGTCATGCAGGAACTTGCCAACCTGATTATCATGAGTTTCATTTGATAGTTTAGTTTTAGTAGAGGTTTTACGGCGCTCGCAACTGCATAAGGTCATATGAGCGCCAGAAGATTAGAGGTGTTACAAGAGAGTAACAAACATAAAAAAGAAAAAGTAGAGATAAGGATGATAGATGTTTCATAGGAAAGAAGGAGCAAACCACACAAGAGCACCCGCCAACCACCCACGTCATTTGATAGCTGCAAAAATGATCTAAAGACAATCATGAACTCTTCTGCTTCTTTGGCAAAATTTGCTTGGATTTTGTAGAAGTTGTTCTAAAATTTGTTTATTCTTTATACAAACAATGTTATTCCATTTAATTCTATTTATTTGAGTAGGTACAGCAACAATCGCATGGCATTTGGAGCAAAGGATACGATCTGTACCCGGGAACATCACTGTGGCACGTATCAGTTCTGCCATTATACAGCCAACAGACCAGATATCAACTGGAAGGAGAAAATACAGGAGGTCATCAAAACTGTGTCCTCACATCTGGACAGATCAATGACACAACTTAAATACTATAAAAGACAAATAACTAGTTTAAACACATTTGAAGTATAAAAATTGCTTTGGCAGAACAAAAGAATAAACTTATTTTTATATATTTCTAAGAAGTTGGTACATGTCTTCCAATGTAATAGAAAACAATGGGGAAAAAATAATCAGCAGCTCTGCTCATGCAACATAATTAGAAAAAAACGTAATGCTAAAAATGAGAACGGAAACAGAACTCTGTGAATTTAATGATGAGGAATTACAAGAAAAAACCCCTCACCGTTTGCCTTGTAGCCCATCCCCAGTATAACCTCCGGGGCTCTGTAGTAGCGAGTCACCACGTACGGCGTCATCATGAAACCTGTCCCGGCCGTCCGGGCCAAGCCAAAGTCAAGGATCTTCAACGTGCAGTCTGACTTGACAACGATATTGCTAGGTTTGAGGTCCTGAGGAAAAAGTTTGAGTGGAAAAAGTTTGAGTGATAAACTAGTGAAGTAGTGTTGTGTAATGATGATCATACACAAAGTCTTTTAGAAAAAAAGGGAGAAAACCATATGATAGAAGCAAAATCAACTTGCAGTACCTCACATTTAATTATTTCACACAAAAAGCTAGTAAACAAAAGCATGCACTCAACTTAATTAGATAAAGGCCATATATATTATTGAACATTCAGGCTGCACATGTCTTGGTCACAAATGATATGAAAATGGTCGACAGACCTATACCCAGAGTGTCCTTTTTTCGAGACAATTCCACAATAGTATGGCCACTTACACTGAGCTTGTCAGTTTTTAGAAACTCCAAAAAAAAAATTCAGTAAAAAAAAAAAATCAACAACCCCCAATATACACACCAAACAGGTGAACAACACCAGCATAACTTTGCTTTTAAAAACATCAGCGCAAAAGCCAAGAGTGGCACTGTGTCCACGCTGCCTGCCTGCGGTACCCACCCTGTGTATGATGCCAGCAGAATGTAAGTGTTTGATGCCACACAGCATCTGGTAGAGGAGGTAGGACATGCGCTCATGGTCCAGGTCCATCTGGATCACCTGACACAGGTTGGCGTCCATGAGCTCCATCACCAGGTACCTGCACACAAACAAACAGAAATAGTACACTTTAGAAACATGCCCGCCGCGCATCAATTCCTAAACTTTCAGTGGGAAGGTTTTTGTTTAATTTTGTTTTTGTTTGTTTTAGTAGAGGTTTTACGGTGCTCACAACTGCATAATGTCATCTGAGCGCCAGAAGATTAGAGGTGTTACAAGAGAATAACAAACATAAAAAAGAAGGAGGGGAGAAAAGGATGATAGATGTTTGATAGGAAAGAAGAAGCAAGCCACACAAGAGCACCCGCCAACATTTAATTTTGTTTTAGTAGGAGTTTTACGTAACTCACAACACATACATGTCACATTATTATTTTTTAAATTATAGTAGAGGGTTTTACGGCGCTCGCAACTGCATAAGGTCATATGAGTGCCAAGGGGTGGGGGTCAACAGA